GCAGTGTTATGTCAGTGCTCACAAAATTCCAGATTTTAGAGCAATTTGAATTTCAAATTTTCAGATTAGGAGTTTGATTCAGGTTAAATGCATGAGTGCTACAACTTAATCACGTTTTGTACCTGCCTTTCCTCCTAAGAACTTTGATCTCTGACCAGCCCCAAAACAAAGAAAGCTCGTTTTAGAGACTAGAGTTACAACCAGTGAGTAATCACCAAGTTCATTCTAAACATTTTTATTTTTCCACAGATATCAGTTGTAAGCACAGATGATGATCTAGCTTGACTTCTGAGACCAGTCTCAACCTTTGAGGTATAAACCAATAATGCCCCACTTCGGAATGGTAACCAAGCCAGCAGCTGAAGTCTCTCTTCCTCCTGTCTGGAAGATTGTCAAGATCTCTTTGCGTGGATCAAGCTTGTGTACTTGACCATTTTTATATGACTTTTGTAAATATTCTTGTCCACATTCTACTTCAGCTTTGGATGTGGTTACCAAGTATCTGTAACCCTTGAATTTCTAGACAGTATTGCCACCTCTGGCCAAATATGCACTTTCCCTAGAAAGCCATATTCCAGCGATGAAACTTGTGCTATAGTATATACCACCTGTACATACATTGTATAGGCCACCTGTAAATATCCCAGAGAACAATCACTATTCTTAAGCACTTTGAAAATATTTCTATGTAAATTATTGTAAACTTTTTCAATGGTTGGGACAATGGCAATAGGATAAAACGGGTTACTAAGATGAAATTGCCAAAAAATTTGTAAACTAATTTTGTACGTATGAATGAAATCTTTGACCTCAATGGAGGTTTGCAAAGACTGAGTGTTCAAACTACTGTACATTTTTTTTTCAAGTGCTAAAAAATTAAACCAAGCAGCTTAACCATGGTTTGTGCCTATTCCTCTCAGATGAACTGCTTGCTGTAAACAGCCTAAGTAGTGTCAAGTGTTCTAACTGAATCTAGGAGCCACAGTTCTCTATCATGTGTAACTAAGCCTGTAATTGAGCTACTTTATCTTACAACCAAGTACTAACTAAAGAATACAGTACCATTTGATGTATTATCCCCAAATATTTCTTATTTTGTAAAAATAACTTTATTCTTGCTTACAAAAGAGTTCCTTTTTTCATTAATCTGACTCCTTATCTACAAACATTGAGCTAAGATTTCTATGAATTCTTTTACTTTGTACTTAAGTCTCTGTTTTCTGTGTTCTGTCATTATCTATGGGTCAAGGACAAGTGCCTTCTAAGGCATAGGGGGGGACCTCTCTTATAAAAAGCCTGTTATCATCCCATGAAGATGGCTGAGGGGTATAATAAATAAGCAGTGCCACTCTTGAACAATCTAAGATGGTGTTTTTCAGTGTGAGTCTAGGAACAGCAGCATCTGCATCATTTGGAAACAGTAGAAATGCAGATTCTTAGACCCAAACCCAGATCTACTGAAGCAGAAACTCTACGGGTGGTTTCCAGGAACCTGGAACAAACTCTTGTGCTGATGCTCATGTAAACTGAAGTTGAAAACCTCTGTTCTAATGTGGTTGTTTTTTTGTGTGGGGGAATATAATTAAAGCATCTTCAAAATTGTCAGCCTACCTGGCATAGGACAGATTTCATCTATGGGCACCTTCCAGAACTTTTAGTATGAAGACCAGAAAAAGAGTTTGGAAAGAAGAAAAAGAACCAAGGGGAGCTTAGTGACCCTTCCATCAGATTGGTCATCTCGTCCTTCCCCTGAAGTCTCAAGATGCCTGGAAGCAAAGAGATATGTAAGGCATGAAGCACTGAGAGGCTGCTCTACGTCCAATATGAGTGGGGGGTCGACAGTGGAAGGTGCAGCAATCCCTCTGGGACTAAGTGACCAACATAGTAGCAAGAGGATGAATAGAAGATGTTTTGAGAAACTAAATGGATTGGTGTGGGTCTCATATTTCACTTATTTATGGAATATAAGTCAGTTACCATTTTTGCTTTTGGCTTAGGAAAGGAGATCAATAATGCTAGAGGAAGGGGAAGTGGATTTGTCATTTTGTGGATGCTCCCTTGTGATTTTGTTCAAATGGACAGAAAGAAAGGAAAGATTTGGGGCCTTTGTTTAGTGGGAGGTGTGGAAGTCAAGCATGTAAAAGGCAAAGGCTATCGTGGTCATGGTAGGACTGTCTGCTATCAACTTCAGAGGTATAGTGAGCACACAGAATGTGGCCTGGTGATAGAGAACGGTGTACTGCCTATTTGGTAAGTAGGTCAACATTCATCCTATCTAAACTCTGAAGGCCATTTCTTTGGTGTTTGATCCCACTGTGATCCAAATCCACTGATTAATTTTTTAATTGGCATACTTCCAGGTTTGCTTTTAGAAGCTTAAAGATAATTGTGTTTTCTTTCCTCTTTTATGAGGCTACACAATAGTAATCAACTACAAGACCCAAAGTCATAGTTTTTGCAAGTAAAATATTATTCAATATCATCTTCTGTAGAATTCCAATCTCCAGTGTCATATTTCAGGTTCTGGGTACCAATTTCCAACCCAGAAAGAGTCTAAGGTTGTCTGTGTCTCTCTCTCTCTCTCTCTCTCTCTCTCTCTCTCTCTCTCTCTCTCTCTTTCTCTCTCTCTCTCTCTCTTTAACCTTATCCTCAATAAGAATTCAAGATACAACTCATTGTACCTAACTTAAGAAATTATGAGAGGTGCAAACTCTTTTGAAAACAACAAACTAACCAAATCTATTGAGATAAAAGTAATTATATGGCCAGACTCTTAGTCAATTGAGCATGTAATAATAGTTCATGAGGGACTAGTGCCTTGTATTTTATCACCCAAAGATGATCTGAAGGAATTCTATTGAGACGTGTTGGCATAAGTTTGTTGTGTCTCTAGAGTTTAATGCAGGAGAAGAAAATTAAATAAGAGGAATGATACTGAAGCTTATTAAACACTAGGGAGAATATGTGGTGTTAAATGAGCTTGTTTCATGAAGTGACTGAAAGTGACTTTAGGAATTGGTACCAAGGAATGATTTATCGACAGATTTGTGGCCCCTGGTAAAGAAATCCAGCCAAGTCTCTGAATCCAAATTTGTAAGTGGCCTTTGCAAGTTATCAACTATTTGGCAAGAAGTAGTCCTAGTTGATCACTGGTCCATTAAAACATTCTCATAACTATTTGAAAGCCCTATTATTATTTCTAAGCCTTTGGTTCTTTATTTTTTATTCTAATTGTTATATATGACAGCAGAATGAATTACAATTCATATTACATAATAGAGCACAATTTTTCATATCTCCAGTTGTATAAAACGTATATTCACACCATTCGTGTCTTCATACATATACTTAGGGTAATGATATCCATTCCATTCAACCATCTTTTCTACCCCAAGCCTCCTCCCTTCCCCTCCTATTCCTTTGCCCTATCCAGAATTTGTCTAATCCTCCCATGATCCCCCTTCCAACCCCACTATGAATCAGCCTCCTTATATCAAAGAAAACATTTGGCATTTGCTTTTTTGGAATTGGTTAACTTCACTTAGCATTATATTCTCAAGCTTCATCCATTTACCTGCAAATGCCATGATTTTATTCTCTCAATGCTGAGGAATATTCCAATGTGTAAATACACCACATTTTCTTTATCCATTCATCTATTGAAGGACTTCTAGGTTGGTTCCACAGTTTAGCTATTGTGAATTGTGCTGCTATAAACATTGATATGTCTATGTCCCTGTAGGATGCTGTTTTTAAGTCCTTTGGATATACACCGAGGAGAAGGATAGCTAGGTCAAATGGTGGTTCCATTCCCAATTTTCCAAGGAATCTCCATAATGCTTTTCATATTAGCTGCACCGATTTGCAGTCCCACCAGCAATGTATGAGTGTGCCTTTTCCCCCACATCCTCGCCAACACTTATTGTTGATTGTATCCTTAATAACTGCCATTCTGACTTGAGTGAGATGAAATCTTAGAGTAGTTTTGATTTGCATTTCTCTAATTGCTAGAGATGTTAAACATTTTTTTTTCATATATTTGTTGACTGATTGTAGTTCACCTTCTGAGAAGTGTCTGTTCAGTTCCTTGGTCTATTTATTGATTGGGTTATTTGGTTTTTTGGTGTTTAGCTTCTTGAGTTCTTTATATACCCTAGAGATTAGTACTCTGATGTATGAGGGGTAAAGATTTGCTCCCGGGATATAGGCTCTCTATTCACCTCATTGATTGTTTCTTTTGCTGAGAAGAAGCTTTTCAGTTTGAATCCATTCCATTTATTGATTCTTGATATTAATTCTAGTGCTATAGGAGTCTTATTAAGGAAGTTGGGACCTAATATGACACGATGGAGATTTGGGCCTACTTTTTCTTTTAATAGGCACAGTGTCTCTGGTTTAATTCTTAGGTCCTTGATCCACTTTGAGTTGAGTTTTATGCATGGTGATTGATAAGGGTTTAATTTCATTTTGTTGTATATGGATTTCCAGTTTCCCCAGCACCATTTGTTGAAGAGGCTATCTTTTCTCTAACGTATGTTTTTGGCACCTTTGTCTAATATAAGTTAACTGTAATTATGTGGGTTAGTATCTGTGTCCTCTATTCTGTACCATTGGTCTAACAGTCTATTTTGTTACTATTGCTTTGTAGTATAGTTTAAGGTCTGGTATAGTGATGCCACCTGCTTCACTCTTCTTGCTAAAGATTGCTTTAGCTATTCTGGGTCTCTTATTTTTCCAGATGAATTTCATGATTGCTTTTTCTATTTCTATGAGGAATGTCATTATGATTTTGATTGGAATTGCATTAAATCTGTATAGTGTTATTGGTAGTATGGTCATTTTGACAACATTCATTCTGCCTATCCAAGAGCAATGTAAATCTTTCCATCTTCTAAGGTCTTCCTTGATTTCATTTTATAGCGTTCTGTAGTTTTCATTATAGAGGTCTTTCACCTCTTTTGTTGATTCCCAAGTTGTTGTTTTTTTTATTTTATTTTTGAGGCTATTGTAAATGGGGTAGTTTCCCTTTCAGAGGATTTATCACTGATATATAGAAATGCCTTTGATTTATGGGTATTGATTTTATATCCTGCTACTTTGCTGAATTCATTTACTAGTTCTCAAAGTTTTGAGGTGGAATTTTTTGGAGGGATAACAGGAACATATCTCAACCTCATAAAGGCTATCTATGCCAAGCCCCAGGCCAACATTGTTCTAAATGGAGAAAAATTGAAAGCATTCCTTCTGAAAATGGAACAAGACAGGGATGCCGTCTTTCACCAATTTTACTTAACATAGTTCTTGAAACACTGACCAGAGCAATTAGACAGCCTTTGGTTCTTGATGAACACAAGGCAAAATAATTGTTTGTTTCATTCATCTTTTGAAGTCAGCCTCTTTCAAAAATAGAAGATGGGCTTGAAATAGCATGACTACAGGGCACTTAAAGAAGTAACTTTCCAGTTAAGAACACTGTAGAGATTCAAGAACAACCTAAAGTCTAGCTTTTAACTCTCTTCAACTCAAACCAAAAAATTCTGGCAGGGTTTCTCTTGTATCATGTGATTTCCTAGAATTCTTACCAAGTGAAATCTTTCCTAATTAGTTTGTTATTTTAAACTAAATAAAAGATAGTATACTTTCTTTTAATATTAAAAAAACCCATAGATCCTTTTACTAATTTAGGCTCAAGAATAAAGAGTATACTTTGCTTACCTTGATTTCTAAATTTGAGTCCTTCAGTTTCATGATCATTTTTGAGGGGTAAATTGTGAATTATGCATTCATTTTGCAGCAATATTATGGACCTGACCTGTGAGAATTCTGCGATACATAGAGGAAATTTTCAAAGGTATCTTGTTTTAAGTTACAGGGAAATGAATTGGAAGACAAAACAATGATTTTATTGTTTGTTTGCTTAGTTGTTTTCTGTTTCTTTGGTCATTTGGTTTTTCCACTTATTTCTGTCAACCCATAGTGGACTTTTCCAGCTCCAAATAGTTGTTTGTGAAGGAGAATCACTCATGTTTGTATATACCTCATTCACATTGACCTTCACATATGGAACGCTGAATCTAAGTTAGCAATGAGGGCCTACTATGAAGTTTGGAGACCCATAGATAAGGATCATCACTCTGGGGTGGCTCTTGGACCTGTCTAGTGTTTTTGAACTTGGTTCATCCAAGAAACAGGAATGAAGTTGGACCACAGCTCAGAATCCCCAGAAGATCTTCCATCCATGAACACTAATGCAAGAGTAAGACAAGTTGAGGTTGGGGAGTTTGGTTTCCTTCAGATGGGAAGTCTGGAGCAGTAGGCAGCATGGTCAACAGCACAGACTCCTGTATTGGTCTTGTGTGTTGTAGTTAGGCAAGTTACTAAGCCTCTCTACAAAATGGAGAGGAGAGGCACCATTTTACTGTGACATGGTAAAGAGTACCAGCAATGACTGAACTCAGCATTTAGCAGCCATGCAGGTCAAACACCACTATTGATTATAGCTATCAATGCTGGACATCAGTGTATAGAAAGTACAGTCCAGAAAATGTAAGTGACTTTACAAGTGAATTTTACAAGTAACTTTACTGAGTCTACTGTGTATTTGACTGTTATCCAAGTGCTTTCCACCATATCTCTCTGTTGAGATCTAAGTCTGAAATGTAGGCAGTGATGTGACCATGTATAGTTAAAACGTCTTAAAGATTTACATGGTTTAAACCCTAAAACCACAGCTGGTACATGTCTGCCTCAATCTTGATTAACTTACTACCTAGGAATGGAGATAAACATTTGAGGGCCTGCATAGTCTTTAGATGGTCACTAGAGCACTCGAAATCACCCTTAAGTTCCTACCACATGCTTGCTTAATGTTGTGCTGAATGAATGATCTCATGTCTCTTATTGGATTTTCACAAAACCCACAAAAGGCATGTATTATCTTCATTTTACAGATGTGAAAACTGAGGCTACAAACAATGTGAGATTCTAGTCCCCTGAGCTTACTGCCAACCCCTCCCAGAAGAGGATGCTGTGCTGTGTGAAGGTTAAGCTGGAAGTCACATTATGTTTTCTGAGTCCCCTTTACTACTAATTTTTGGGTCTTCAGCAGTTTCTTGGGTGTCTCAGATATCCTTCTGATCTAGTGGTATGTAGAAATATAAAGCTAGCACTACTACTTCAGTACAATATAGAATAACTGTCCTGTATCATGCCTTTAAGATGCTAGATATTCCAGAATTTTGGCCATTCAAGTGAAGTGAAAATAGATTTCTGGATTATATTGAAAAAGATTCCCTAAAGGACTGTATAGAAAGTCACATCATTCCTAAATGTAAGATATTGGAGGAAAACAAGCTATAACACTATAAATCTTAATTTCTAAGGCTCTCATATAGGCCGAGACATGGTCAAGAGGATAGGAAGAATTGCAGTTTTTCAACTGAATGATGTTGCTATATAACTACAGAATTGGATCTTAAGCATTCTAGGTCCTAATTCATACCTGGGTATTTCTCAATTTGCTCACGTGCATAGGGAGAAAAATACTTTTTTTTTAACAAAACTATTGACTTTGTCAGAACTATATTGCCCTTCTTAAATGTCACACTTGATACTAAATTATGTAATTACTATGTAATTACTGAGGAGTCCAGTGCACACAACCAAGTTATCATCCTCAGGATCTTCAGAATTCTAAAGGCACGTGTTGGAACACATCCGGTCCTGTAGATAAGCATTTTTCTTTTACTAATGATCTGTACATTTATCTTAAATAAAAGTTTATTTTTGAGATAATTGTTGTAAGCCTTTCCATTTTCTAGTGAAATTTTATAATTTCAAACTTTTGCTCATATCTTTCCTCTTCCCTCAACTGAATTGCTGGAGATGATGTAGTCACCCATTACTGGGGGACAACAAGGACCTCAGACTGAGAGAGAAAGTCCACTCTTTCACCACACTTAGAAGAAATGCTAGTTCCCCACCCTGGGCAGCCAGAGCACTACCTTCTCACACACATCCCCTCGACCCATATCCAAAAACAAACTGAAACTCAAAGCTACTATCACCAAGGAATGTTCTTTAGACCAGAATTTCCTCCCAGGGGCTGACTGAGAACAGGCCATACCTGACTAAAGGGAAGGTGCCCATTGTGTAAGACAAAACAGACCTTAACAAGCAAGGAGAGCATCTCAATGCTTTCCCCTTATCCATTCTTACAAGGTCTGTGTTGAAATTCATTTGCAATAGGCTAAATCTTTGTGAGCCTTGCAATTATTTCACCTGGTATATTCCAAAGCAATGGTACCCTATTGTTTGAATTATATTGGATGCTAAATCTTAAAACCAACTTAGGGGATCCAAAAGAGTAAAGAAAATCAGTTAATTTAAGGAAAGAGAAACTTTAAATATATATATATATATTTAAAAAAATATATATTAAATATATATATATTTAATAGTGCTGTTAGCACAGCACTATTAAACTCAATAGTGCTGTACTAACATCAGAAATGTGAAATTCTTAAGGTAAATATCACAAAAGATATTCAAAATGTTTACCTAAAAACTACAAAAGATTATCAAAATTAAATTAAAGATGATCTAAATATATGGAGAGATATTGTGTTTGTGGACTGAAAAAAATGTTATGTCCACAAGTTTTCCCTAAACTAATTCAATATAATCCTTATAAAGAAGCAGCAAAGCTCAATAGTGAGTTTTTAGTGAATGAGAGGATCTTGCTAGCTCTGCAGTAAGATAGGGGCAGATGTGGAAGGTCTTCCACTACATAACCAGAGAAATTGCTTGCTATCCAGACTTCAGTACTCTTCTGAAAATTACACCTATTTTCATAGGGATCTCATAAGATCACATATAAAGTGTTTTTTTCATTCAAGTAATAACTGCTATTTCTGCCTAGCACATGCATGCACGCGCGCGCGCACACACAAACACAATTCATAAAGTTATAATCTTTTACTTATGTTCATTTGAAATCTGATTTTGATCTGCACTATTGTATTAATATCCCATCTTCAAATGTCCCTTGTTAAATTTCTCCTTGAAATGCTAGCGTTGGCTTTTTTTTTTAATCCAAAAAAATCAAGAAGATTAATTGTCCTGCACCTATTAGCTTTGCAAAAAAGCCTGGCGTGTGTGACCTTCTGCTGATTAAAGAGTACAGGTGGTTGGTTTAAGTTCACCAATTATACAGAGAGGTCTTTTTAATCAGTGCGGGAAAAACAGGCCACACTTTGGACCATTCAAGGAGGTAAGACTAGTATGCTCTTTGGATTTATTATGCTCAGCAAATATGGTTGGCCCATAATCTAAAAAAATGGAGAATGCTAAATTTCAGGTCTGAATATCTAATGCTGTAGTGTCTAAGGCAGAGAGTAAGTTTAAACCCCATAGTCATTGTTTCCATTTTCCTAAATTTATCCATTTACATATGAGATTTACCAGGGATGAGTTGTTTAAATTTGAAAACAAATTTGACTTTTTAGCCTGATCCCAAATGAATAAGCTGTGGTTTCCTAAGAGGGACTTTTAAATGTTGACAGATGATGTTAAATAACTAGTCAGCAATTGGTATTCCTCCTCAGGCTTGAGAAGACTGAGAACAGTCTCTAAAAGGTTCTAGGACAGTTTTTTAATGTGCATATCCTAGATTGAGCATCAATTAGAGGAGAATACAACAATTTCTTCAACTTTCAATGAAACTGAAGAAGAATATAGGGACCAGCCCTTTCAGAAGTTATTCCCACACCCCCCTTCACTTTCTCACACACATACACCATGTGCACTGTCAATACTTCATTCACTTGTTCAGTACTTCCTATGCACCAGGCATTGTTCTGTATCCTGGGGAACTGGTGAGAACATGGCAGGACAAAGCCCCATCCTTCATGGTACTCATTCTAGCTGGAAGCCAGGTACTGAACAGACATCAGGTAGTGATAAGATTTATGAAAGAAAACAAGAGTACAGGATTAGAAAATGATAGAATGTGCTATTTTAGATAACATGGTCAATGAAGCCCTCCAAGAAGATGAATTGAGCCAAGAATCCAGAGGGAGAATGGGGATGAACCCACCCAGAAGTCCTGAGGCGAGGTCCTGAGTCAGGAGTGTGCTTGATTCATCTATGAAAAAGCAAATTGGCATTGTAGCTAGGGGTGGCAAAGTCAGAGTGGAAGGAAAGGAGGTAATATGAATCAAGCAATGTTCACTTCAACAGCTGTGGTTTAAACTCAGGAGTTTCCTTTATGTGATGAGACAACATTAGAAAGCTTGGAGTAGCAGAGGGACTTCTAAAAGTTTCACATTGGCTTCTTTGTTTGGAGTAGACTGTAGGGAGTCAAGAGCAAAAAGAGGATAAGTTCAGAGATTATGGCAGTACTTCAGGTAGATGGCTGTGGCTTGGGCTGGGCTGATGAGACTGGAAGAAAGCTCTCATTCATTATCAAGTTGGTCATGTCAGAAGAGTATGGTGTACAGGATGTCTCCCCGGAATTGAGAATGTGGCATTCTAGATGAGCTGCTGATCCAGAAGAATCTAATAGGTTCCTAACTCAGCTGTGCCCTTTGGCTGCAGATACCAGTTTGGCTGCACACCCCTGACTGGGCTGGAATAACAGGCACAGCTCCAGCATGGGTAGAAAAAAAATCAATAAAGTTGCATGGAAACTGGGAGGAAAGCCATGCTACCCCTCCTAACCCAGGGAGTTTGAAATCTAGAAGAAATGAAGAGCCTTGAGCATAAACCCCACCCACAAAAGTGCAAGGGCTTCAACCTTTCCATGTCAGTCCTACCTTCAAGGAGAAGCCCTTCCGGTAATGTTTTTGGAGGGCTATGTGGGTGGAAGCTCTTTATTGTCTTGAGTAATGGTCTCAGAAAACATGTTTTCTCTGATCGAGCTTCTTCTTTTTAATGTGAGAGCTTTAGAGAGGGTAAACCTGTTCTTTCTATCCAATTGCTTTCTATTTCCCTGAAACCCACTTGGTTCCTGAAAGCATTGAAGAAACATCAAAATATCTTTCCTAAGAAATTATAGAATCCTGGCATTTCTGAGTTCAGAGAGACAGTCACTGAGTCTGATACTTGTCTAATAGAGGAGGTAACAGTGAGGAAGTAGAACATGCTGGCCTAAAGTTACCTAGTAAAGAGCTCATTCAGCAAACAAATGCCTCAAATCACCCATAGCATAGCAATGACTCTTACCATAAGCCTATGAATTCCACAACAGCTCATGACCCTCTAATATTTTTTCAAGGAGATTATTTTTGAAAACAAGAGGATCCTAAGACCCAAAATTTGGTGAATTGTTTTTAATGGGTTAAGAAGTGAGGTGAGTCTCTGAACTGCATCCAAGCATGTCACAGAATTGAAGCCAAATATTATCAAACAGCTCATGGTGTACAGGATGTCTCCTGTACAATGCAGTGTCTTCTCAGACATTAGCTCCACTATCTGTTTCCTTTCAGGGAAGCCTGCCTCCTATATCTCAGGATCTGGTAACCTCCAGAAAGGACGATGCTGAGAATAGTGACTACGTGCAGTTCTCCTCACTCCCCCTCCTCTGCAGCAGACACTGTGTTCCCAGCACTCTGTGAACCGTCTCCATTATGAGACAGATAAAGATTTCAATGGGCTTAATTAATAGTGCCAATTCAACAGAAGTGGCATGCCAGCTTGCATGCAATCCCAGTTTCTCAGAAATCCAGTAAAACTGGGTAGAAGATGACTTTTTAAAACCAAAAACCTATCATCTCTTGCCTTGGCAGGAGTACTGGGAATGTCCCTGGGAAAAGCGATTTCTCTATTGCTATATGGGAAGGAAAATCTTTGAATTTGCTAAAGGAGGTCCTGAGCTGACTTTGGGGACTGGACTACAAGATGGTTGAGCTGATCTGCATTCTCTGAAGAGAAAAATCAGGTCATGGATGGGGAAGTGGGAGGAACTAAGCAGTACAAGTTTGGTACCCTATTTGACAGACAACAGAAACATGTAATACACAATTTTGGATTGCTTATACTTTCTATACCGTAAACCCTCTTACCTCCTTCATCTGTGGTACATACTAACACCATGTGAATGACTTTAGATGAAAATCATAGAAAGGAATCCAATCCTAGACCTGGGTTGACAGAACAGCAGAACAGACTTACAGAGTAACCCAGTAACTGAACTTGGTCACTGCAAGAGCATAGAACCCACAAACACTAGCACCCCAGGGACTCTTAGAACTGTTTGGCTGAGACAATACACTTTCTACAGGATGCGGAATGGAAGTTCAAGCCCATATTATGTGGGGTTTAAGGAGCAGAGTGACTCCAGATGATGTCCCAAGCTATTAAATTTATTTGGTGAGATCAGGTGGCTTTTAAATGAAATGCACCCAGCATTTCACTAGTTCGAGTATAGTACTTATTTTTCCATAATTTCATTGGTGTGTTATAATTATAGATAATGGTAGGATTTGCTGTTACATATTAGTACATGCACAAAATATAACAATATAATTTGGCCAACATAATTCACCAATATTTCCCTTTTCCCTTCCCCTGATTTCTCCTTTCTGATTACCATTAAATTATCATGAGATCTCCCACCCACCTTTTTTTTTCTCTTCTCTACCTTCCATATGCGAGAGAAAACATACAACCCTTGGTTTTCTGAGTTTTACTTATTTCCCTTAACATCGAGTTCTCTGGTTCTATCAATTTTCCTTCAATTGACAATTTTATTATTTTTTATGGCTGAATAAAATTTTATGGTGTATATATACACC